ACATGTTTTACTGAATTGAGAGATATGTTAAAAATCCATTCTATAATTTTAGGATATACAAAATAATTTTCAACTTCATAAATCAATACTTTTTCTTCTGCTTTTAACGCGGTAAAATTAATTTTATCTGCAATAATATTTAATTTTGATATTAAATTTTTAACAGTTAAGTTGAGTTTTTCGTTTTTTTGTACAATTTCATTATTATATGATTTTATATCATCCTCTAATTCATTTACTCTTTTGATTCGATTAACATTGTCGGGATAATCTTGATTCGAAAATTCAGTTACTTCAGCATTTTCATAAGAAATTTTAGGAGAAGACATTTTGTTTAACAAAAATTATTTATTTTTATTTTTTTTTTGATATGAACAGAGTGCCTTTAAATACTTTTTCCAATATTGATTAAAATTTATAAATATAGCTTAATTTTGTAAAAGTAACAACTAAAATAAAAAAAATAAAAATAAAAAATAAAAAATGAGTAAAGATACTATTGAATATTTTTTTGAAAAAGGTCACCGTGTTGTTGATCTTATTCCATTCTTGTTGCTGTTTCACGTATGTTTTGGCATATGTATCATGGAAATTCAAAAGAAATTGCTAGAGCAGGCTTACATACCTTCCAATTTGGCTTTATATATTGCTACTAGGGGTAGCAATCCGATTGAAATAACAATTTTACGTGATACAAGAAGAAATACATCAAATCTATTAGTTGAAGAATATTTTGATTGGTTAAAAAGAAAAAAAGTTGCTGAAGATAATAAATATTTATTTGATGTGTTGGAAGAAAAGGTTAAAAGTTTACAATATCAATCAAGAAAAACAGTTGAAGGATTTGATAAAGATAAATTTGATTTCGAAAATGAATGTTTAATATTCGTTCTCCATGAGAATACCGAAACTTTAGAAGAATTCGAGAAGGATCTACAAAATTTTTGGCAACAAATAATTTTAATTGGTTCTAGTTTTTTTGGTCAAATTAATTATGATTTGTATATTGATAATAGAATGAT